AGTCTCAGCAGGGATGTACCCACAGAAAGGTTGGTTGCTCTTTTTGGCTCTCAGTGCCTGGGGGATCTCTTTTCCAAAAGACACTCCCAGAAGAGGATCTCAGTTCTCTTGATTGCAGGGTCCTTAGTTGTGCACTGTTGGGTTTGCAATCAGTGTCAATGAAACAAACCATGAGGGATGGGATGTGCGTTCGTTTGCACACATGGGGAGGGGGTGGGGGGAGAATACAATGGGATGAGACTAACTCTTTTTCTTATAGAGAAGAGCTGGACCAACTCATAGTGCAATGGAAATGCTACCCATAGATTACAGACAGACAGTAATGAATCAACCAGGTAGATAGATACATGTATCAACCAGATACAGGGCAATCTCTACCTTCTGTAACACAAATACTTGTTTGAGCTGCTTCCTCCACCCACCTTCTCCCTTCTGATTCTCTCAGCACCTGCTGTATTAAAAATACAATTACACCCCTGAAAAGTAACAGATTTAGACTCTGTCACTTTGTCAATGACCTTTAGATTTAAGACTAGCTCCCAAGTGACCCCTGCCCCACAGGCCAGTAGTTAAGTCACCCATTCTCTCCACCTCCTTTCATCACCCAGCCTTCAAACAACAAAAGTCAGATCTGCCTTGCTCACACTACTTTAGCCATGGTCACTGCATATCATTCCCTAGCAGCAAATAAATTTGTGGGAGCCAGTTAGATACTGGAAGATAAATTACTAAATGGTTCATGAATCATATGTCTCTGAAACACATTGGTCCTGCAGCTTCCTCTTCTTGCTCAGAGCAAGATGCTAGGATGGATCTTAGTGTCCTAAAACAACTCTGTTTTGCCGTTTAGTCTGGCTGGCTCAGGAATTCTGTGAGTCTTCCTCTGCTATGCTCATTGTACCCTCCTCCTCCCTGATTTAGACTCAGTATAACTAAGAAGGCTGCTGAGAACATGCCTCACCATGTAACTTTGCATCATGCCTTTTTGTATTGGGAGATACTAAAGGTGCTTCTAGAAGATACCACCTCAGCTGGTCTTCCTTGCAATATTGGCAGCCATAGCCTCACCAAAAAAATTATAAAAGGAAAAAAAAGTGCTATTCACACAACTCTGTTTAGCACTGCTAGTTACAACCAGGAGACTCAGGGGCCTTAAGACTAGGGACTTTTTTTGCCACTGCTGCAACATACATGAGACATTTTCAGCCAGCTCCAAATGACTTGGTACGTCTCCATACCACAGGTCCCATTATCTCACAGCACAGCACCATGTTAACATGGCTATACTGTGCCCACTTCCAGAGAAGGCATTGCCACATGATCCTGAGCATACTAACTAATTTGGCATTACTGCTGTAAGCAGAGGGTCCTATCTGAGGTGGCATTGCCTTGCTTAGGATAGATACGTATTATGAACCTCACGTTTGCTGATTTCATGACTTTTATATATAATCTCTTGAGACAATACCTTTTTCAGGCACATACTGTGTAGAAATCCCTCTCTTGGTGTACCACAGAGCACTGTGAGGGCTCTGAGACATACAGTTAAGCATGAAACTGAAACTGGCCCTGTGTCCCAGTAATTTCCCATCTTTTTCCTCACAACTTCTGCATCTGTCATCCTAGTGCTTCTTCTCCCACTCCCAGCCTCATATTCAATTGGAGATTAGATTGTTCTCACTAGGTGTTAGCCCGAAAGAACAGCTTTACATCCTAAGCTCCCCTCAACTTTGGATGAGTTTTCACATCTGAACCTGGACATCAGTCTGAATATGTAGGCTATGCCTATGTGAACATCTCCACATAACGATAGACTCAAATCAGAGTCCAAATTAATTCTTTAGGGTGACTTTTGCTTTTTAAAATGGAGTTGGTTAAAATCTTTTGAATTGTGAATATTTGGAAGACAAACACAACAGTGTTGCACAATGAAATTTTATTTACTTTTTCAAGAGCTGGTCAAAATCTTCTTAGCATGTAGATTAAAATACAATTCAACCAAAAAGTGTAAGAAATTGTAATAAACAAAGAATTCCTGTCATTCTTCATCATCTGATAATGTTGTTTCTAACATCAAGACTCGGGTGTAAATGCTGAACAGTAGACCAATTACTGGAAATTACATTGTAATGTTTTTCGTATCCTCTACCAAATGGCATGCAAATGTAAAATGAAATTTTATAGAAGTTTAAAAAGACAAAGATTTATTGCTTAAATAATTTATTTTTAATATATTAGATGTTAAATAACATCACATAGCACAAAATGTGGTCAGTTACACCATATTTGTTCATGACCATACAGATAAGAAATCCACAAAATACGAAGAGGAAACTTGGAAGAAAAAGTAGAGTCTTTGGTAGATAGATCTAGTGAAATACATGCTGAACATGAGAGTAGGGAGATCCTAAATGGAAAGGAGAACAAAGAAAGTGCTGATATGAACCAAAGCAGTAACAAGAAGAGAAGCTTTTTAGGGTAGAAAATATAACAAGCATGTTACATTACAAAATTGCCAGGTTTTCTTACCCATTCCCTGGACAATAACTCTGCTCACAAAATGTTTTGTCTTGCCTTGGTGACATGTTTCCTAGGATAGCAAGTGGCTGATAGAAAAAATAGCACCACCACACTTTACCAGTAAGTGCTCTGATTTACTTGGACTAATTTATCCTGCTGTAACTCCCAGCAAGTCAACAGAAATCTAGGAGGAGGACTTGGCTCATTACCTTTGAAGCACTGTGCAGAAGAGACTGTGACTCCATTCAGTAACATTAAAGGGGGCAGAAGCAGGGAGAAAGCAGTACTGATTCCACGAACCATGCAAAAGTCTTGGTGTGTTTCCGCTGAGCTGGTCTCCAGTGCAGTCCTCAGCTCTGACAGCTCAGAAAAGCAGTAATAAGCAAACTGAAGATTAGCAGTGTTCGGAAAAAAAATGAAATCACCATGAACCCTTTAATTTTTATTTTTTTTTTTCCCTTTTGGTCAAACTCTGTTCACTGGCGTGCCTGTACCTTACAGCACCAGCCCTGGATGGGGTAAGATGTGCTCCTGTCTGACCTTGGTCTTTGTCAATGCACAGGACAGCCCAGTACGTGCTCAGCAGGAGCCAGCCCTGGCTTCTTTGGTGCACCTGGTAGTTGGTGAGGCTTTAAAAGGCAGCTCAGCTTTGGGTGCCAAATCCCTTCATGCAGAAAGCCTGTACGTGTTACATGCACAAACTCTATCTCTGCTTCCTGAGGGAAGCTTATTGTCTCATGAATAAACAGAAACAGCTCAGGGACATGCCTTGGCACATGGGAGCTCCATTTCTTCACCAGTGGTGAATAGTTGTCTTTTCTAAGCATTGACATGTACCTCGGTCCACATGGAAGTCAAAAGGACCTGTGTCAGTGGGATCAGGATCTGATGAGGAAGCAGTTCTACTTAAACCTGGTGTCATTTTTTCTGTTGCTCTAGGCAGCTTTATAACTTGCATGAGCAGTCCAGACCTCCGCTGGCACAGGTTATAACTCAATCAGGAAATTAAATTGATTTGTGGGCAACAACCCACCTTCATGAAAACTCTTTTCATCCTCCTTATCATCTAAACACCTACAGCATGGTGGTTGGCATTGCTTACAGGGAACTGGCCCACTGAATCAAATGGGAAGACATTTACACCAATTTCTTGGTTGTTGCTCCATCAGCCCATTTGGAACTGTGTCCAGATGGAGGAACCTCAACTACAGCACTTGAAAGCGGGGAGTTTAAAGGCAGTCAGCATACACAGGCAGCATGCCCCTAGTCTTGACCATGGTCTTGGTACCCCACTTGAGGCAGATATCAATCCAACTTCACACAGCCTAGCATCACAGCACCAGGGTCTTACAGGTGACAGCAAGGATGTGTGCAGCTTGGTTCTGCCTCCCATGGCAGCAAAAGCAGGGCTGGTTCAGGAACTCAATTCCCAAGACCCATGATACACAGCGCTGTGCTGAAGGGGCACCATGGTGCACCCATAGTGCATGCCCAGCACCTTCTGCCAGGCCCTGACATGCTCCAGCTGCTTCTGCACCCTGGCACAGGAATGGGCACTGCTCACTGGCACTTCCATGAAGGTTTTCACAGTGCATCATGGAGGCTTTTCTCCTGGCACCTCCCTCCCAAAACAAGTCCTTCCCCATTACTGCAGCAGTTGAAGGGCAAAGACATTTAGCCACCAACTTGTTTGATGGGCTTTTAAGGCTGCTGGAGGGTAGCTGAACAGCTTCTTTCACATGCACACTGTGACTGCTACAGAGGAGGTTTGCTCTGCCTACTGAACACACTGAAACTCATCTATGCCTATGTCTTCTTTTATTTTAAATTAGCATTTCTGCTTTAACCTAATGTTCAAGTTTGTTTAATGCAGTTTGCTCTGACACTAGGGATCCCTCCAGTCTGATGGAGAAAGATGTAGCCAGCTTCAAGGGCTAGGACTTGTATTTTCAAAAAAAAGAATCAAGCCGGAAATAAGATTTACAAGCTCAAGAGTGAGTGCAGTTAGCCTCTGGAACCACTAGGGGAGGACTGTGGCAAATATCACACGTCTCCAAATCTTTCACTACTGAGGCCAGATGTCTGTCTTGGACAAATTTGTGGTGCAGTCATCATTCTTAAGCTCAGTAGTGTTTCCTTGAAATAGCATGGGAGAACAATCTCTTTCCCTACCAGAAACACTGGATGAATTTCTATGGCGTGATTTATGGAGGAGATCAGGGCAGAAGGCCCTTCTGGCTTGCACTCTGCTGTGACAGCAGTGAGTCATTCCCAGTTCCCAGGGGCTGCAAGTTCTCTGTCTGGTCTTCCAGGTTGTTGGCTGACCAAGGATTTCCTTTCCTATTAAATAAAAATGCATACCAAATAAACCAGTAATAAATATAAGTAAATAATCACAATACATAGAGGAGCAACCCACAGATTTTGCAAAAAGAGAGGGTCTATCAGACTAACACCAAGACTGCATGTCTCATTGTCTGCTAGGGAGATGATGTCTCTGACCAACACTCTACTATATTGCTGCTCATGCCAGGAGAGGACACACCACAGTTTTCAATCAGTGTCAGCTCCTCCATGCTTTGCAAGCATGGGCCTTGCTGGAAGAACCCCAGGATGCTGCCCCGTGCCACCACTGCCGTCTGCTGCAGGCCTGGCTCCCCCAGGACCTTGACGAGGAAGTTTATGTATCTCATAGCTAACCGGAGTGTCTCATTCTTGCTCAGTTTTTTGTCTGGCGGGTGGGTGGGGATGAGTTTCCTCAGCTTGGCAAAGGCGCTGTTGACATTTTGCTGCCTCCATCGCTCCCTGGTGTTGGTGAAGATCTTCCTTGTCATTCTCAAGGTGCTACAAAGCAAAGGCAATGGTGAGTGAATGCTTAATACCCCTGGCTTTCACGCAGACTGCTGCTATGGGGGCACTGTAACCTCTGGGCCAGTGGTGAGCACACAGTGGTGGTGCTATAATTTTTGCCCTCTGTGGCTGATGCCCTTATCCTGCATGTCCTGCACAGACATCCTGATCCTAATCCCTAATGTCATGTTCCCATTCATTATCATGATCTTTCTTAATTATTGCAGCTGCAACCAGATGCCAGAGTCCAGTAAGGACTTCACAAAGGAGTAAATGGAGTTTAATTTCCTCATACAACCATGTGGTGCTGCTACACACCCAGCTTCTCCAGGCTCCTGGGAGTTCCCCTGCAGCAGAATTCCCAATAGCCAAGGCATTAGTTGTCCCACTGGGCAGCATGAGGGACACCCAGACACTTTTTAGGGGGGAAGGTAGGGAGGCAGGCCCAGGGCAGAACACATCCATGCTTTCCCAACCCTAATTCTCACCTTCTTGGGGGCTGCTTCCAGCTGGCCCAAGCTTGGTGACTCATGGCTGGAGCTAAGCCAGGTGGACTTTCATCATGGGCCTTCAGTGAGCAGACAGCCAACACTACAGACACGTGTGATTATGGTTATTACAGGAGACTTCTCCAGGGAAGCAACAGTCTGGTTCCCTGCCCAGCCCACACTGACTGCTCACTGCTGGTGGCAGAGAGTCTGCAGTCTGATCCATTCAGGTTTCTGCTTTAGCCTCTGAGAGCTGCCAAAACTAAGCCACAAGTGCCATGAGTGCAGGCTGCAGAAGGAAAGTACGATTCCTACAAAACATGCAGGCATGCCAGCCAAAAGGTCTACATAGGTGTTACCTGTCCACCCTGCCTCACAGAGCTGACCAGCAAAGGGAACCCAGTGTCCAGAGCAGAGCTGGCAATAGAAGAATGCTGTACAAGGGGCACACAGTAATTTAAAATTACATTTGCCAGAAAGGTTGTCAAAAGATCTTGGGATTGCCTTAACCCTGCTCCCACCGCCACTGGAAAGAATCTTCCCTTCTTTCCCACAGCCCTGCGGGAGATATTCACTTCTCCATTTCTGAAGCTGCTCATTATGCCAATGGCACACAGACAGTTGGAGCGGGGAAAAATTATCCGCAGCCAAGAGACTAAAGGACAAATGTTTCCACTTACCCTCTTATGCATGTGAGAACCTCAGCTTTTTATATTCATTGGCAAACACATCCTTAGAGCAGTCCCACAGGAGACTGGGGAGCAGGGGGGATAGCACCCTTCACCCTCAGAAAGAGGAAACTTTGGCGTCACAGCCCAGCTGTGATCCCATGTCCATGTGAAGCAGCCTCATATCATGCAAGACACTCGGGGTTCACCAAAGTATGTAGTAATAGTCTGAGTGAATAAGGGAATCCCACTGTGACTCAGAAGTTAATTGGGGTGCACTGGCAGGGAGACAAGACATGATTGGCAGACAGAGAAGTTCCCTCCTAGCTCCTTCAAGTCCCAGCCCAGCACTGATTACAAATCACCAGGGAAACACAGTTACAGCATTGTAAATTATGTCAGAACCGTGTTCAGAGACCTCGGTCAGAGACGCAGCTAATACAGATGCGCCCATGCATACTATACATGGCTATGCTCATGCCACCCATACCTTGCAGGCTCCTCTTGGCCATAGCCTTTACAGAGCTAACACATTTCTATTTTGGTAGAAGTCTGAAATTACTGTCAGGCCCAGTTGTCTACTCTGCCTTTAGGGGACAAGAAAATTGTCTCATCAAAACGTCCTTGCTTCCTGAGATGCTCATTTAAAAAGGAAACCCTCATATTTCAGGTTCCTGAGAGTTTCTCATTTTTTTTGTAGAGTTAAATTGAGACCCATTGCTTGATCCGAATAGGGATTGTATCTCTCTTTTTCTTTTTTTGCTATTCTCCTACTCCATGTATTACTTTTGGCTTTTGCTATGGGAACAAATCTACTTGGTACTTTGCACCTATGTGAAACAGCTAGCATGTACCTTTTTGGCAAGAATGCTGCTGTATCAGTGGTACAGATTTTAAACACTGTCTTCCAGTGCTCCTCTGTACGGCAGCACATTCGCTCCCCAAGGCAAAACTTTTGCCTTTACAGTTTTATGCTTCCAAGCAGCTGCTTGGTTCCATGTGAAATTCAGAATGCCACCTGCTTCTCTCTCTCTCTTCCTCTCTCTCCCTCTCCCTCTCTCTCTCCTGTTTTTGGTGTGTGGGTTGTTTGGGGTTTTTTTAAGACAAATTTAACTGTACAAAGGCAATTATTTTTTATAGCATAGGGAAAGTTATTTGGGCTTCCTTATTTCTTCTAATGGGTTGGGCGGATTATATTTTGCCAGGCCTTTCAGTCTCTGCACTGTAATTCTGGTATGTGGGTCTGGGTTTGCTGGATGACTGTTTATATCTCAGCTACAAATACCAACAGAGGGTCTGCTCCCCTGCTGCAGACAGTCCCCAGCACAGCACTCCAGCAAAGCAGGTTAACATCCGGCCCTGGTGCTGTGAACATGTCATCTTGTCCTGTTAGCAGTGTTATTAGTGGAAAAATAACCCCAGCCTACTCATTCACACCACACTTTCTTTGTCTCTCTTCTCTTGCCTTTGCAAAAGACAATACTATGTCTATGGTCACAAGACTTGTAAGCAAACAGATGCCTTTGTGAGGCCAGCTCCTGCTTTACACTTTAAAAATGTGTGTTTGTATTTCTGAGATTTATTCAAGATCAGCAAACAGTGGCTCTTTCCCTCCCCCAGTGCCTCCTCTTGCACTAATAGCTCTACAGAAAGCTTCATTTCAGGTGTAATCTACCTCTGTACACCTCTCCATCTTAAATTCCTCTCTCCTTTTTCCCTTTACTGGTGCAGGTTTCCTGTTGTTGTGCTCAGAGTTTCAGCTAGAAACCTAAGAGAAAAACAAGCGTGGTCCAATTCTGCAGTAATTGTAATGTTTCAGCACAGCTTCTTTTCTTGTATGGTCCCCTACACATCCCTCGAGTTCTCTGTAACCACAGCACCTTCCAGTGTAAAATGCAGCCAGTTTACTACAAGGGATCTGATTTCCATTCCTTTTGTCTCATTCCATTCCTCCTCTTCCCTCCTTCTCTCCAGGCCTCCCCACCAAGCTTGGCTTTCAGTACGATATTACTCGCAGCTTCAGGTCTTCGCTAATGTTGCACATCTGAGTAATGTATTCTTTAGCTTTCTCTGGTGCACTGTATAAAATATATATTGTCTAGTGGCTGCATGCGGCTTATATCCCACTGGTCCCTTTTAAATTTGTGCAGAAATCACCTGTTTGTACGTATCATGGACAGACAAATTGCATTAACCTGCAAGCCTGGATTCTGTGCTTTCTGGTCACCTTCCCTAACCACAGGTTAACAGCCCCACATTTAGCTGACAATAAAGAAACTCAGGAAGACAGCAGCTTAAATTCAAGAGGATTAATTCTGCTCTTAGGAAGGTAAATCTGGAAGGTTACACCATTTTCACTGGGTGAATTACTTTGAAGGGCAAAATGTTGCCACTGAGGACAGGATTTAACTCAGATCAAGAAGACATGTCCAGAGGTAGTAGGTAAGTGCAGTTTCATGAGCTAAGATCCACATCTGCAGTGTGTAAAGAGAACTGTGCAAAGAAATCTCAGCCCGGCAGTGAATCTGCTCCAACAGCCAGAAAGAGAAAAAACAAAACACCACCACCTACCAAACAGATAACTGAAGCTCTTTCCAGTCCCCTGCCTACCTCTCTGGAAAATATAAAAATAAGGTGGGGTGTGGGGTGTGTGTGGAATACTGGCTGTCATTAATGCAGCAGCAAGTGTCACCAGACAAAAGACTAAACAATAGAAAAGATGAAGATCTCTCCCTCGGTAGCAGCAGTTCTCACAGCCTCTCTATGCAAAAGCCATTCAGGCAATTCAGGCAGCAGCAGCAGAGCAGTTTAGGCACAAAACACCATCTCTGCTAGGGCATTCCCTGGCAAATGGCCCCTGAGCCAGCAGTTAATGTCTTTGGGCTGGCAGGGGACTCGCCAGGAGCCCAGCACTCCGTCATAAATAGTGGGTTGCTATTAAATAAAGATCTTGGATGAGAAAGTTCCTCCCTCAAGTTATACCTTTGACCTCAGTGAAGTTAAATCCATGTTGAAACCGGCCACTGGAGACCTACTCCAGCAAATCTTAATCAGACAGCAGATGCCTGCTGCCAGCAAGAATTGGAGTGCTTCTAGGAAACCTGCAGTGCCACACCGTTACTCCATAGGGGAAACCCAGCGCCTGCTAAAATTGGTTATTTATTTAACACATTGCATTGGATTTTGTGAAGTCCCCTCAGCCCTTAAGTAAATGGCAACAGAAGAGCAGATGGTGCCTGTTTGCTGTATCAGGCAGGTGCTTGTGAGCCTGACCTACCCAAGGGAGCAAAGATTCCCCAGCTATCACTCCTTGCTGCTGTGTTTTGTTCACTTTGCATCAGTGTGATCTGGAGAAGAGGAGAAGGAGGAAGCTCATTGTTTCCTTCTTCAGTTTCATACAAGCCTTGGAGCATGGGACTCAGCTCTGTGCAGAGGGGAAGATTGAGCATGGCTGTCACAAGACATTACACTGCCTATCCATAACGCATGACTTTTTTTCCTCACCCACTACAAGGAATAAGCTCAAACTCTTTGCAGCTGAACCATGCTCTGTTTGCCGCATGGCTGCTTGGATTGCAAGGTCTTCCTTTGGGTTGGGAGGGGAAGGAAGAGGAGAGGAGACAATGCATTGCAGCTTCACAGCTTGGAAAAGGAGCAGCGCACCTCTAAGTACACCTCCCGGCTTTCCTCAGCCCCCTCTCTCCATCGCTGCCTCCCCTTATCTCGGCACTATACCCCTCCCCAAGTGCCTCCCACCTGAAATCCCACAGGTAGACTGGTCAACAAGGACACAGAGAGAGAGCACAGTGCAGTCAGCCAAACAAACACTGGGCTGGCAATCAGGGAATTGAACTTCTGTCCTCATTCTGCTGTTCCTTTGCCTCAGGCAAATTCCTTTTTTTTTTCCTTTCCTGCATCTCTGTGTCCCTGCTGCCTGTAATTAGTCTGTCTCAGCTGCCAGGTTTGTGGAAAGGAAAGAAAGCATTTTTGTGTGTGTGTGTTAGAGCAGCCACCAGCACACAGTGGCCCAGCCTTGCTCGGCATTGGTAGGTGCTGTGTTTGTGTAATGAAAGACAAGACCCTCTCCCAGTTCTCGCAGGGCAATTCCTAACACCAGCAGTGAACTTCATTTTGTTTCAAATAAGATGTGGGAAGAGGAGTTACTTCAGGAGTAAACAAGGGCTCCTTCACTGCCTCATGCCTCTGTTGGGAGTGTTATCTGACAATCATGCCACAATACAAAGTACAGCAGAGCAGCAAAAATGCTGTAAAAACCAGTCAGCACTGACAGAGTGATTTACCTTTTTTAGAGTCTGTAAATCTGGGACAAAACGTACATAGTGGAATGTCTACTTCTGGGAGCCCTCCTGTCTAAGAGCAGCATTTACAGAAACACAGCTACACTGTGCTCTCATTGAACCTTTAGAAAAAGGAAATTGCTGGAGTCTTCAAAAGCAACTGTGCAAAAGTCTTAAGCTTAAGTCAGCCTTCATGTTTGGGGATACTGGTCTATATGTGATCACAGTTTCAAAAGGCAAGTTTTTCACCTGACCCAGTGTTGCCTCTGGGTTGCTTAGCTTTGTTATCCGAATGCCTTCCTAGAGGGTGCAGTATCTTCAGTGGGGGAGAGAGCTCACAACTTTCTGAAAAATCAGCCTAGCCTGCAGACTTCATAACCTGGACACCCTGGCATCGTGTTCCCTAAGGCTGTCTCAGGAAAGGTAGGTCTGTAAAGCAATGGACTACCACCCAGCAGGCATTTGGGAGAGCAGAAAATATGTCGTTAAGAACTTACCAATAGTCATGAAGAGGTTTACTCTGCACATGGGAGTGGTTTTGTTTTTTTCCTGTGGGTCCCCTCTTGTCAATGCTTTTTATGTTCCTTTGCAGTAAAGTCTATACCACAGCTCTGTGCAAAACAAAGAGCCCACTCATGGGCTGCAACAGCTTTTGCTAAACAGACGTCTAGTGTATTGGCATGGATATGACAGCTTGCAAAGCTGAGGAAGGAACACTCTGCCAGAAGGTTTAGCCTTTATTTGCTAAACTTGCATTTGTGTTATTTTCTGTTCAAGAAGATCTGAGGGTCTTTCATGGTAAAGTACTTCTCTGTCCTCCTGGTCCCTTGTCCAGTAAGGCCCTCTTGTGTCAAAGGCTGAACTACAGTTCCAGTGGGTTTCCTTTAAAAACAGTCTCTGCCAAATTCACTTCCCAAATACTACATACAGACACTATCCCTGTGCTTCAGGGTTAACACAGAGAAGAAAAACAGGTTGGTGGTCTTCCAGGAGTTCCTCCGGGACTCATTTTTTTCCAGACCCAGTGTGCAGAACCCTGTTCTACACAGATATTTGCTCCCAGCTCGTTACAGCACTCATTCCTGTATACCTCCCTCTGCACCTGCCACTATGAGGCAGTGAGGTAGCTGTTAATAGCAGAAACACGTCCTTTTGCTTTAACTTCTTGCTTTGCCTGCATATGTGGGAAAGTCCACATCCTCCTTACTGAAAGTCTGTTATGTAAAGAAGGAGGGAGGACCAGATGCTGCATGTCTTAACAACTCAGCAAAGAGTGGTCTGCAGCAGCTGACGCTGTTATGGGAGTTGTTAGGAGCAGAGAAGGGAAAATCCAGTGCCGTAAGGGACATTTGCATGAGGGGAATGTAGATCTTGTGCTGTTTGGATATAACCCCCAGAGAATATTTGCTTTTGCATTTTATGCAGGTCTGCTCTGAGGCTGATAGCAAATGTGTCTGTGACTTCAGCAAAAGCAAAACTGAAAGTTTGACAGCATCATGATAGTGGCATCCGGTGACCTGTCTTCCTACCAAACACAGGTTAAAACCAGTCTGCTGACCACCATGGCATCACCCCAGGAATTAATTGGGTCTGCTGTGTGTAAGACTAGAAGTCACCATAAGCATGGAGAAACATAACCACCACAGCAAATTGTAACTTCCAAAAGTGTGATAAAAACCACTGCAAGACAAGGACCATAGTCCTGTTTTCCCATAAATGTCATGCTGCTCTGTGGGGCTATGCCTGATAGAAAGATCAGTATGAAGATCATTCCTGCCTTAGCCACAGTCTTGTGGGCACCTGCATTTAGTCACCAAGCCTCCTACCTGGTATGCTGACTCACTTAATTTCTTGGATCAGCTGCTTCTTTCACAACTACTTTGATGATTTATATAAACAGGCAGTAAAAAAAAGCTGCATTTATTTTAGGGTTTTTTTTGGAAACTATATAGAAATGTATGGTGGAAAAGGTTCTAAAAATCAAATATCATCCTACACTGTTATATGGAAATCAGGAAGGATAGAGACAGCTACTTCAGAAAAATGTTTGGTTTATTGTTTATTAACTTTCTCAGGCAAATTCAGCTTTATGCAGAAGGCTACCACTGGAAATCTAAACATGTTCTAGATTGGCAGTTTCAAAAGTATTTTTACAAATCTGAGAGTTATTAATATTTACCAGCAGAAGTGAAATTAATAAAATTGCTAAGCTTTTCCTCTCAAGTGAACTATTGAACTGAGCAAAATTGAAATGCCTACATATTTTACATATGCATCAGCTGTATGACAGATGACCAATAAAGTAGTGGGGATATTTTTAAATATGTGAGGAATGGAATTTAAAACTATTTCTTTATACCTTTACCTGCTGACACTGTCATAGGATTTCCACATAGCCTAGTGCATAAGCATGCAGTAAAGTTTAATGAATGCATGGTTATCTATGCTTTTGCAAATAATTTGTTTTAAATATCAAATACCATTGGAGAATTCTGTTAAGTTTTATTTCTAAACTCAGAGAGTCTATGATGCTCTGTGCAATCGTTTTGCACCAGTGCAATAATTCTGATTTACAGTACTTTGCAGTGGTATAAATGAGTTTGTCTAGTGTGTAATTATACAGTTATGATGTAAAAAAATCTAGGAATAGTAGGAACAGTGATTTTAAAATCACATTAGTTTGCTCCACATCTAAGCATCAACATTTCTTTCAAAAGTAGTAAAACCAATTAATAATTTCTCCTGGCATGAGGTCTGATCCACGGAGTCACTGTGGATACTAAGAATTTGAAAAGTCCAGGCACAAAAATAGGGCTACACGGTTACTTTGTTTGATTAAATGTAGCCACCTGTAAGTGGTCCTTTCTGTAACTATTCTCTTTGTCAGATCAGGTGCCTTACTTTTAACATTTTGGTGACAAGATTCAGAGGTGCCATGATAAGAAATAAAAATCCAGTGGATGTTAAAATGCTATGGCAGAAATTCCTTCCTTTAAGGATATTCCCTGCTCGGAGAGGAAACTTTGGCATTCCTAAGAAAGTTGCAAGATAAGCCCAAAAGAGGGGAGGCAACGCTGTAAAGAGAAGAGGCCATTGTCACTTACTTTTCTGGTCACGGGTTCTTGTGGCTCTTGAAACCTGGTCAGCAGGCACACGGACAGCAAAACCGGATGTTTCCTATTTTTCCTTCCCAACTGCTCTCGCAGTGCCTGGCTGCAGAACTCGCTCTTGCTGGAGTCAGCCTAGTGCTCATCCTGGCTGCCTCATTTATAGAGTAGCAGGTCCTTTGTCTGGCGCGTGTCACCACTAGTCCTAGCAATCCAGGGAGCTTGTTTTGCATCTCCCAGGAGATTCTCTCTATCCTGCCTTTTCTCTTCTTACCACATGCCTGATGCCCTTTTCTGGGGCTGATATGGGGCAGTGGCTGAGACTATACTTACTAGCCTTAGAGCAACTCTGGCACCAACTCTGCGCTTTGTGGGAAAGGATGCAACTGGCTCATGGCAAGAATCTAATTTTTCTCTTTTTTTTATTTCTTGGGGGGGGGTGGTAATTTATTTAGTCAGCTCTGAGCTTGTAAATGTCTCCAGAGACAGAGATGCAGTACTCATTCAAAAGCCAGCTTTAAAATGACTCACTACTGTGGGACAGGCTGGTGTGTTTATTGTATTCCTAAGCAGGCGATTCCCTCTCTGCTCTGACAGTAAGTGCGGTGAGGTCGTGGGGGTGACCATGTGCTGACAAACTAATCCTGCACTACCTTTTCTGGTGAAAGTTCCCTTTCACTTCGAGTCCTGGCTAGCACCTTCAGCAGCCTGGAGGACAGGAGGACAGCTACAGCTGCTGCAGTCTCAGTGCTGCCCCAAGCCCTGCACTGGCCCTCTGCCTGAGTCCACATGGCAACAGGAGGCTGTGGATGTGAATTTACACATCTACCAGCTTGCCCTTCACTTCAGGGCCCATGCAGTGCACTAAGGTTAGGTTTAATTCATGCTTTTACAGCAAAGGTGAGCCAGCTCCATACCCCTGTGGCTAGGACGCAGGGTTGGTGAAACAGAGGCTTCTTTCCCCACTGCTGGGGGGGCCCCAAAACTTCCTCTCAGCTCAGGGACAACAGGCAAGCAAGCTGAATTCTGACCATCTGTGTCTATGACAGAGACTGATCCACTCAGCCTCCCCTCACCCTGGGTAACAACTCTCTTCATAAGTGAAACACTGGAACAGGTTGCCCAAGGGGATAGTAGATGCCCCATCCCTGGAAACATTCAAGGTCAGGTTGGACAGGACTCTGAGCAACCTGATCTAGCTGAAGATGTCCCTGATCATTGCAGAGGGGTTGGACTAGATGATCTTTGGAGGTCCCTTCCAACCCAAATTGTTCTATGATTCTATGAAAATAGTCACAAAATTGCCCCAGGCACAAGCCAACAAGGGCATAACCTTGTTACAAACATACAAAGCCTTTGGGACCTATATGACCTTGTCTGCACCTCCATCCACTTCTCCATTAGGTGCTGGGAGTTTTCCTTTGCTTGGAGTTAAGAATGAATAGGGAGAACAAGAGCAAGATACCTACTTATGCACTGGGAGCAACAGGATACTAAAAGGGAACAAGGGATAGGGAAGGAGAAGCCCCAGCTAATCACCCCACTGCAGTCATGGTACAGGAAAATGCCTGCATCCAGGATAAGGTAGCTTTAAGCACACTCCACCACTTTCCTCTGCCGAGCCCCAAGAAACCTCAGCTCTTACCCAGACCACCTCACCCAAAACAGCAAGCTGGCTAGGTAGAGCTCACTTACCAGGCTTTTAAGAGCACTACAAATGTTTCAGTTAACGCAATTGCCCCCATAAATATTAACAACCCAGCAGTGGAATGATGTGGTTGCTCTCCAGAGAGGGCGAGTAGTTCCCCACAGAGCTTGACTGAAGGTTCAGCCCTTTCACACGGTAAATTAACAGCGGCACTACAGCCTGAAAGCTGTGTCAACCGCTTCATTTAGCACAAGTGTTATGTTAACTAAAGGCCCTATTCCAGAGGGGCCTTTGGCCTCACAGAAGCCTAATTTCCATGTAATTTACATTGGAAAGTTGTGGAGTGCCCCTCCTCTCTGTTACTTCCTCCAACCCATTATTTACCCAAAATCTGCCCTGAGATGCTCCAGCCAGCACGCAATGGTAGGGAAGGGAGCTTGTCAGTCCAGAAAGGGGAGGGAGATGAAGCTCTTTGTCCCTAACTGCATGGATACTTCACTGCCCAGAGCTTTCAAAACCTGGCCAGATGAAGCACTATAAAATATACAGCCAGGAAAGTGTCTGTTCTTGCAGGGAGAGGGGTTGGATGGGCTGCTATTCATTCTCTTTCACGTATCCATACAAGAGAGATGGATCCTGCTCCTCTTGCTGTCAGATGCATGCCCTCTCCAGAAGCAGGCTCATGGCAAGAAACCTGCCTCACTGGGGAAACATGAGGAGAAAAAGGGACATCCTAGCACCCTCCCGTGTACTTCAGAAAAGCCAGCACCACATCTGTTTAGTGTTTCAGCCACATCTCAAGGTCTCCTTGTCTCCCTCTCATTGTACAAGGGAATTACTCCTCCTGAACATCTCTGTGGCAGCACAGCTGCAGCTGTGCAACCTGCAGCACCTGAGACATCCTCAGCTTCCCCTCATTCCCCTGCTCCCCACTGTGCCTTGGCACCCTGCAGCCCCAGCTTTTTTCCTCCTGTGAGAGGCCATGGCCACAAAGCTCTGCTTCTGCTGCAAGCACAGCAACACTTTTCCTGCACTGCTGGGACACGCTGTGACCCACTGTCAGGCTGTGGGCAAGAGGTCCCAGGTGTCAAGCTGGCGTTGGTGTCAAGTCATTGAGAATGCTGATGAGATGGCACAGGGATGCTGACTTTTACGCTAACCTTAAGGGTCTTTTCCATACTGTCAGATTGCTCCGAAGGGGTCAAACATGATGGTCTGCTTTACTGTCTCTTTATTAAGCTTCCTATTGAACTGTGATTACTTGGCACCGATGAACCACATCAGTCTCATTCACCTTCCTCTCCGTACTCAATAGTGACATGGCAGCAGGAGGAATACATTATCAATATATCCCTGCAGTCCTGGGATTACTTTTCCCTGGAGCAGTCCATAGTTGCCAGGATAGTATAGCTCAGCCAGGAGTAAGGAGAGGGGAACAAGAGCAGTGAAAGCAATATTGCACCCTGGGCATGCTCTTCCTCACAAAAATTTCTGCTAGGATCCATCCTGACAGTTTCCTTGGAGTCTGGTGCAATTCTTTACCAGCAATGGGTCTGGTTTTTAGCAGCCACCCATTATCAGTTCATGAAAAGTCAAGGGGAAACAGAATGTATTTTGTAACTTGCATTCTGCCTCCAAACTGCAGTTGGTATTAGCATATTTGCTGGTGGAGTGGCCACATTTTCCCTTCTCAGATACTTCTCTCAGAAAGTAGAGTTCCAGTGCCCTTACAGCACTGATGAGGAAAGGAGGGTGGGGAACACTGCATGTGCAGATGGGGTAACTAGGGACATACAACTGTTGTGTCTGCAGATGCAGAAACCACTGTTTTATTGCAGCAGTGCTGGCAGGCCCTTGCTGAAATGCAGACCCACTCTGCCAGGCAGGTACACATTCTTCCTAGAAGGGAGACATTCCTTGTCAAGTTTTATGAAACAAAAGCAGGGAGAGAAATGAAAATCTAGTCTCAGCCCTCTCATGGGTAAGAAGTGAGGCTGAAGAGGTGAACAGGTACTGACCCCCTCTGGAGGACACTGTCCTTCCCCATTTCTTCTATCATGCCCAGCAGGTACTCCCACCAGAAGCAGTCCTGAACTCACATTTAGTGCACTTGCTTTTTGAAGATCCATACTTCAGTCAGCTCATCAGCTTGCCTTAGCACTACAGATACGGGTAACAGTTAGACCTGGGTGAAGCAACAGACTGCCTGCATTGTCAGTCATTTATGCAACAGCATTTAGACATGTGTCTCTGCAAAGCAGAAGATGTGAGAGTTGGCCACTTTGAAGAAATCAAGAACATATGGGTGGTTGCAAAGTGTGAACATCCTCAAAACTGGGTTTCTTATGTCCCTTTTTGAAATTCAGCATGCCAGCATTTAAATTCCAGCTCCTGAAACATCCTAGGGGAGTAACCCTAGTTATTTCTCTTCCTAAAAGGAAGAAAAGTGGTTCCTGGCACATGTGACTGTGCAGTATGCAAGCAGGAGCAAAAGGCTTTATCCTGCTACTACACAGTTTCCAGGGCCAACAGAAGCTTTTCCAAGATAGAATAATGGTCAGATGGAAAAAAAACACATTTGTGTTTCACACTGGGCCAGACCTCAAACCCTGTCTTTCTCCAGAAAAATTCTTACTGCAGAAGAGCAGGAAATCAAAGAGAATCCTGCCTAAATATGGGAAGAGATGTCAGAAGATGGGCCTGGATTCAAATTATTTTTCCCCCTTTGTGGGGTAACCCCTTTCAGTCTGATGAAAGCAGCACGCAGTGATGGACAGAAAAAGGACAGCAAGAGGCTGCAAACACACAGCCACATTATCACTGTGAGTTCAGACCCATGCTCTACAGATGGGAACAATAAGAAGCAATTATACACATCTGGGCTCCTGCCCTTTAAAAAAAAAATTTAGATCAATAGATTTTGACTATAGCGAGCTGAAGGAGGCTCGTTGAGGTTCAGAACAGCAGCTGCATGCAGACTGCTGAAATATTAAACTTCCATCATCTGAAGCTTTTTGTAACATTTTGAATCTCTTATTAATGTTAACAAAACACTCACATCAGGGGGTGCTTTAAATTCTGGCCACACTCTTCAGCTTAATTCCAGAAGCCCAAAATCTTCTCCTTTTCAGTGCTGAAACTTGCTGATAGCCTTGAAGAAACTGTTCAGCCACAGAAGAAAGAGACTGAAAACCTAATATTTCTCTAAATCTTCCACTGAGAGCAAGAGAGAAGAGACAAGCAGCTCATTTTCCCTTTGACATACACATACCTAGACATTAAAAATCCTTTGGAAATCACCTAAAATAGAGAAAAACAAGGCAGTCACCTAAGAGAATCAGCAGCTGCCATTTTCACTGGCACACAATGCTGAGGTCAGACAGGTTGCGTGTAGCAATAGGGCCACCACATAAGCATCACTGAAAGCAGGGATTCAAAGAAACGTGGAGTTGAATATACCTTCCTGGCCAGATTATAAGC